GTCAAAGTGTTTATGATTGCCATTACTTTATTTGTCATCTGGAACAATAGTAACAAATTCATGGGTGGAAAAAAAATGTTGGTACAAAAAACACAGAAGTGAGAGGACGTTTAGTAAAGTAGTGTATTTTGTTTAGTTGAGAGGAACTGTTGTTTGATTTCAGTAGCCTATATTTAATGATCTGATTTGCATTACATTGTAAAAGCCAATATGTACTTTATACTTTCATTATTTTTACAGCTGTAGTCATTTACTTTATAGACTAAGATTCTAGTGGCAAAATCATTTTTGATTAATGTAAAAATGAGGCATTGTAATAGATCTCACTTCTATAAAAGCTTTATGTGTAAATTTTGTCCGAGTCTACCAGCAGTCCAGCAGCAGCCGCATTATTATTCTCCCTACACGTGAAGGCATCTATTTTAATAATACAATAATATATAATAAAAACTTACATAAGTACATTTTGGAGTTACTACTTTGTTTGCAGAGAGCATTTCTCTCAATAGACATCATTTTACATTCTGAATATTGATTCCTTTTCTATTTTATTTACAAGATGTTAAAAAAGACACATTGAGGTTAATGACCTACAAATATATAATATAATTAAAAAGATCAAAGATTTAAATATTAATCCATATAGAAATCAACAGGACATTAAAAAATGTATGCACTTAAACATTCTTGTATAAAAGATTATTCTGTCAAATAAGAATTAAATATTGTGATATATATCACAATCGTAAAGTAGACTTACACAGCTGAGCACACCACATCCCCCCACCTAGCACCCCCACCCCCACATTCAATCAGCCACATAAATGCATGTCTCAACTCCCCAAAGACAGTGGACAGTTGGATGGCCTGCTGATTAATTTCAACATCCCCCCGCTTCCCCCTGCCTCCTCCTGCTTCTGCATCCTCCAACCATCTCTGCATCCCTCCATCCATCCCTCCCCTGCTCAGCAAAGGCCAACAGCTCCAGAGGTCTGCCATATGGCCAGTGTCTGAGCGCCTGACTGCCTACCTCCCTGCAGCTTGCTTGGATGTGTGTGTGTGTGTGTATGTGTGTGGTGCTGACTGTTAGCCTGCCCCACCTGTTCATCTGCAACAACAGACCAGACCAGACCTCTCCTCTACAAGCCGTCCAGGCGGGCTGTGGACAGATAGATAGATGGACTGATCACAGACTCAATGATGGATAGATTGAGCAGGAGATGATAGATATGCAGATGTGACTGTCCGGGTTTTAGGGTAGAAAATAGGTTTCAATCAAACATGACAGAAAGATGAATGATGAGCAGCTGCAAATCATATTATTGATAAGCATCTGCCAAGCTAATAGAGAAGAAACCAGATAGCGGAGGAAAACAATAGCAAGGAAATAGGGCAGCGGGAGAAACACAGATGGACAGAGAACAGATGAGCAGATAACAGATTAAAAATATAGAATAAATTATTCTCAAAATATGAATGCAGAGGGAACAGACTGCCATAGACAGACACCACGCAGCTCCCCAAACACCCGAGGACATGGGATTATATTGAATGAGAACTTGGGGGTGATAATGAGAGGTCAAACAGAAGAATAAGTCTAAGGCTTGTACACCTGTGGCCCACCTTCTGCTGTCTAAACCGCCCAGCGACCTTTTGTTTTTTAACCCCCACCATCGTTCAGTCACTCTCATTATAACCTTCTGAATAATGTAAAGGTATATATGCATGAAGATGTAAGCGAGGAGAGGAACAAGGCTGAGGGATGAAGGATCTACATAATAGGGCTATCTCTCTCTCCATCTGGTCATGTGTTTATAACCTTCCCCCACCTCCTTCTTAATGCTGGTCTATCTATTTGTCTGACAGACCTACTGCCCCCTCGTCCTCATCGAAGCCGCTAACAATTTAGCTCTATATTTACAACATTATTTTGCGCAACAATTTCCACAAATGCATGTGTGTTTGTCTCATCTCTGCATTCGTTTGTAAGAGCTGATGTATGCACTTTGCAACCCCGGGAGAATTAACCAGGCGTCTGCCACCTGACCCCGTTGACTCCAACCATCCTGGGCTCAGCTGATACGCGTGCCGTGTGGCCCTGACACAAGGAGGACAAAAAAGGCAGGAGGAGTGGGAGGAGGCTGAGGACAGAAGGACCAGCAGGCAATGAATGATTATGATGACTAGGGCCATCTTGCCGGCCTCCCCACCTCCTCCTCCCCCTCACAACAGAAGCAGAAACCCTGGCCTTGGCCCTGGCTCTGTGGCTCCCACATGGACGAGTGATCTGGCTTGGGTCGGCGTGGGTGAAGTGTCACCACGGGGCAAGGTCTGGTCTGTCAGCTGTTGGAGATGACAGGAGGAGAGGGGACAGAGGATGAGGGAGATGTACAACAGTTGAGAAGATACAAATCATTGAAGGAGATCAGGAGATTGAGAGTCAAATCATGAACAGAAAGATTAGTAAGACACTTGTGTAATGCAAGATAATTTTGGACAGAACAGACCGAAACAATGGATAAAAGCGAACAGGTTTTGTGGAGGTGTCTATCTGCCAAGCCTTATGCAACCAGAGCTCTCACAGATGGCGCGGCTGCTGAGAAAGTAGGGTAAACAGTCCCAGCTAATGACTTGCCCCCTCTTGACTCAGTACAGTGAAGTGTAAGAGCAAATAATTGGAGAAAACATGCCCTCATGGGGATTAAGAATCTGTCAGGTCAACCTCTGTACAGTGAAGTGGGTGAGTGTGTGGGCTCCTATATTCATGGCATCTTTTCACAGAGCCGTTGGCACTCTAAGGTGGTGATATCTTCACTCAGCTGAGTGAGCGGAGAGAAGGTGCGGGTTGTTCCTCTTGAGGCTAAGGAGTTCATTTGTGGGGGGTCTGATGATGCAGTTTTTTCCCCTAGTACGTCCTTAAATACAGAGTGATCATATAAAGTGAGGGAAACAAATAAAGGGTCTACACTGATAGCCATATTCACAATAAAGCATATTCCTTTTTTCAATAATTATTGTTTAGATGGGACACATCATTAAATATAGCAAAACAAAATCCATACATGCGTTATCTTAAAAAAGGGTCGAGCTTGAAGCCTACAGCTACAAAAGCTTACCAACTTCAATAACTGATATCTTTGAAGGTTGAGAACATAAAATCAAGGTGTCAACGCTGTCTTAGTTGGTGAAGCAAACTTGCTACATATTCAGCATATACATATGGGGCGACACAAAGTGACAACCTCTGGTGTTGAAAAATGAAGCAGTTTGTCGACTGTCTGCTTGAGGCTGCCTGCAAAGCATCGCAAGTCCCATACATAACCCATTCAAAAAGCCTGCTTTTACAGCCGAAATGAACATCTTACAGCCTGGTACAAAAAAACTAAATTGGTTTGATTGGCTCATGTCTATATTGGCACACAATGTGGGGTGGGGGGGTTGATAACTCTTCCGTTATGATTTTATGAAGGATAAGCTTTATTCACAATAAGGCGCATAGCTGACATGATTGACAGGCAGGCGCGATGTAACAGTTTGCCAAGAGGCTTAAGACCCGTCTCCGCTCCAGCTCTCGTTAGGTTGACTGAAAGTTAGGGTGAGACAGCATTTTCCAGCATGGCAACAGGCAGCGATGGGACCCCAAAGCAGAAACAGATGAATGACTTCAATCAGGCTTCGTCCATTCATATTTACAGTCTAGGGGCAACATTAGCATTAATTTAACTTTTTAACTGTGATTTTTGTCTCTATTTATGTATTTAGCTGCTAAATTATCCAACATTGTAATCAGCAAAGAGGTTGACAACTAAGCTATCTCTTTGGTTGCTAAATGCTCAGAAATGCTAATGGTTGCTTACTATTCCTTTTGCTGTGTAGCTAAAGCATACAATGTTTTTCGGAGCGTTAGCTTAAATCATCTCAGTGTTTCTCTTCTAAGAGACTGAAAGAATATATAAAATAATGCCTCTGTATGTTTTCTTAATAAAGAAGAGTAGCATACCCACCGTTGCTTTGTCTTTCTTTACTCAGAACGTCTTTCTATTCCTTGGCGGGACTTCAATAAAGCATGGCAAAACACATTCTCATTAATTTACATGGTGACGGTTATTTGGGATAATGGGAGAGGGTTACATCTTGTTAAACTCTGCTCAGACTCAGCAGACGTTCAAAGAGTCAAGTCAGTCATTCAGCCAGCCAGCCAGCAGGACAGGTCAGCTGATTTGCTGTGTAACAGTCCTTCTGGTGTGATTAAAGGGACTGTGACAAAGACGCTGAAAGGCGATCAAGGTGGGGGGAGCAACAGCCAGCTGTCACACAGAGACACCATAATGGCCACTGCAAATCCACCGTCTGATCCTGTTTCTTCTTTGACTTCAGCCTCCTGCTAACTGACTAGTCATCTCTTTGTTAACCTGTCACTGAGCTGGTTGACAACATGAGCTAGAGAGGACGTTGTCGTCACGATCAAAGGTTTAGTCTGGATTGATTTATTTTATGAGCAATGTACTGAATACGTACATGTAGAAATAAATAACACTGGTCAATGGATTTATATGTGGAAATAATGGACCATGATGTGATGCAGAAAATTGGCTGTTTAACTTGAAATATGTTTGCAACAACTTGCATACAACACTGTTCACTCTGCAGCGATCCATACCTTTAATCCCTCCACCAGCTTCCCATTCAATGTAAACTATAAACATTTCCCACTTGTATGTCCAGACCTCTGGGGGACATTTGAGGACAGACTTTTACCATGTTTTGTACATGCTAATAATAAAGTATACGTAATTGATGAGTAAGTGGTTAAACCTTACTCAAAAGAAGTAGCCCTAAATGGAGAAGCTATTCCATAATGTTACTTACCAACAATAAGATGTGCTCATAGTGTAATTAGAGTTTCACAATAACGTGGTCTTCTTCTCTTTGTGTCTTTTTCCATTTACTGTGTGCACCTGCTGGAGACTATGGGTGGCCTACAGAGTAGCCTCTTTTCATTAACACAGCTAGCCAAATGTCACAGGCAACAAGGCAAGTAAGTAAACTCTTCTCACTCTACATATTTGTTTGCGACTTCTTCAAGTGTTGTGTCTTGTAAACCTTGACTGTTTAAACCCAACTGTGAATAGCACCTTCAATCAATACCAAAGTTTTCTGATGTTGTTTCTCGTGCTTTTTGTTCTAAATAAATACTTCCACTGCACTTGACAAGCCTGTGGGAACATTTATTGTAGGATTTTAATGCAAAAGAAAAGCTACTGAAAGCAAGTATTCAGAAAGAGCTTGTTTACTTCGAATTCATACAACTGAAAGTGAAATTGCCTCAAAATGTTGGTTACAAGAGAACATAGGAACAAAATATGCGTGTAGCATTAAAAAAAAAAAAAGCTTCAAATAAAGCCAAACACAATATCTTGTTAATCCAAAGAAAAGCTTAATGATTGTGGATCAGAGCTTGAAAAGCTGCACAGGAACAGTAACCCTGTTGTTGTTGTTGTTGTTGGTTATGTCTTGTTATTTCTCCATCTTCCATTGATAATAAAATCAGCTCAGTCAGCAGCACGTGGCGTGCCCCTGCCAATGACACAGCAAGCGGTGACTCTTGGCTTCTGTGTCCCAAAACTGTGGCACCCCCTGATGCTCTGCTTAACATCAGAACAATTAGTGGCCCTCTGCCCCGCTCTTCACACAAGAAAGGGGAGAAACCTGTGTTCTTCCCCATACACACAAAGAGAGAGGCCAGTGCGTAGCTGACGGCTCCTTTGCTCCCCAGTAGCAGGAGCAGTAGGTAATGACTCCTGCCTGCCTGCTACGGTGGACCTTAATTTGTTATTGTAGCGGAGCAGCTGTGCAGCATGCTGCAGAGAGCAGGTGGCAGCCTGGCAGGAGTGGAGGATGGGGGGTGGGAGGTGGAGGGGGAGGAGAGGAGCGTGTGGCATATGTGGGTGGCTGTAGGGGGAAGGAAAGATGATGTGTGTGTATGTATTTGTGTGCGTGTTGGGGGGCTGGTGCAGTCCACATCCTCTTAAGCCAGCATCCAAATATTATGCTAGTAAATAAGAATAGCACGTGAGATTTTTGGATGGAGTCCAGATAAAACTGTGCGGGTTGTTTCTTTTTAGAATTCTTAATGTTATGAAGCTCAACAGATGACACAGAATAAACTATAAATATCTTATACGTGTCAAAATTCTGTATTATTGCTCTTATTATTTATTCACATTTCTAACCTGTCGTAAACTTCTATGCATCTGGTACATTTATCAGACATACAGTATTTACATATATGAATCTATGTATCCTCACTAGTATTACAAATGAACATACCCCAAAATCATGCCGTACAACTAGTCTGTGCAACTCTTTTTTTCAACCTGCAATATTTTATATAGTGACCATATAGCAATGCAGAATATCCAGTGTGTGTTGCCATTTTTCTGCAAGTTTCTGGGCAGTAGAATAATACAAAGCCCCTTTTATCTTTAACTATTATTATAAATGGTTATTTTTCAATCCCTTGATTACTCTCGTCCTTAATATGACCTTGACTTGTTGGAGTATTTTTAATATCTGATTATAAAACACTATATCCTCCTTTTATGGCTCCTTTTTATAGAGTACAGTCCCTCATGTTAAGTTCCGTCATCTCCATATCCTTACTTGTTTCAATGACAATTTATTCTGGCATCCCAGGCAATAGATCCAGGCTATGAAAAACAAAATCAATACACCAACAATTCAAGGTCATAAACGACTTTGCTCAAGGCGATGGAAGTGTGTCTGCTTGCTGGGAGGATTATGGGAGCTGTGTTCTCTTGTTGCCACTCTGACTTAATCATTACTGAGACACCGTTCGCCTGCTGTAACGGAGCGTTATTGGCTTTCTGCTTAAATGCTTACAATTAGTACCGCCCACGCAAAATAGTCTCTGTTGCTCCAGAAGAGAATTGAAACCTGATGCCTGCCGGTGAACAGGATCGATCGTCTACCCCTGCAGTGTGTGTTTTATTTGAAAGTGGTGAAAAAGTGTGTCTTTCCTTCAGAGAAGAAGACAAACTGGAGGACTTTTAAAAGACATAATTCCACAAAGAAGAAAAGACAGCAACACAAGGACGAGGATGGTGGGAATGCCCAGTGCTTTAAATTGTAAGTACACTTTAGATTATAATTTGCAGAATACAAATAGAGCGTGACTGTAACTTTTAGATGTCAACATTTATCCATAGATATATTATTTGCGCATGCAAATGCTGAGTCAACTAATACCCAACATGCCCGTCATGTCATTGTTTGTTTTACATATTGAAAGAGCAGACTCTCTGCTGAATGGGCTTTCCTGACCTCCTCATGAAAATATAGCACAATTTGTCTTTATCCATGCTTAATAATGCGGAAAGCTTCCCCAGTCTTGTTTTCTGATTCTTTTGTCTGAGCGGGCTAATTCTTTAGAGGAGACCTTTTGAATGTGTTACTTCAGATCCCATCAAATCATTCTAATGACCAAACAAAAACTCTGTCATCCCTTTGAGTGCTGAGATCTTACGCTCATTAGAATCCATTAAATGAGTGAGAATAAACTATGCATAACACATACTCTATTGGATGCATTATCCCTTATATAGCCCCCCACAAGACAGCTATTATGCTCCCGTTTGATTGAATAGCAGCTCTGGGTCTATGTGTCTTTTCAGTGGAGGATTTGAAGCCCTTAATCCACCAGGCAAAGTTTTTTTTTTTCTTTCCACCATCTGGAGTTTGCAGCGCTTTAAGACAAAAACACCAGGCGGTGTGAAACCAGGCTGTGGCTGCTGCTTGATGCCAGGAGGGAGTTTTTTTTCTGCATGGGGTTTCTGTCTGCTTTACATCAGGGGTCAATAGTACAGTCCTGCCATGCAAGTGGGGTCAGCAGGGCCTGGGGGCATGATTGCAGGGACAGGGACTCCCATGAGGACCCCCAATTGGTCCCCTTTTTCACCAAAGAGGGACAAATAATCGTATACGACAAAGACGTGACTGTATTACAGAAGGCAATGATGATGATTATGGTGCTACAGTGTCCACCAGGGCGCAGCAGTGTGTACACTTGAAAAAAATAGAAACATGTTGGACTATGGATTTAAAGGCAGCTCTTGTTTTGGAAAATTTGGTCCCACAGAAACCTTAGAATGATCAAACATTCTTCTGTTCATCTGTAACTGTTGTTTAGTTGAAGTAATCTGAAGTTACACAGAAAGCTAAACTGCCCTCTGGGAAGCAGGGATTGCTGTGTGTAGACTGGGAGAAAACGTGTTAAAGAGCATGTCGGCTCAACATCGCTCACACCAGTCAATCATTTACATTCTCTCTTGATTCAATTAGCCCTACTCCAAAACATGTGGATCATTTGGAACCCCCTCGATAATTTTCCCTTTTGCCTTTCCCCTTCTTTTTCTGTGGGGTGGCTTACAGAGTTGGATTCCAATCCTCTGACATTAAAAGGGGAAATAAACGACAAAGGGGCCCTGCAGGTTTGCATTAAAGACCTAATTGGTTTTGGCTTGAGTGGGCTGTTAGCGTTGCCAGACGTGGGCCCTTTGTGTTTTGCCATGTGGGAGAATTTGAGCTGCGCTGGAGGTAGAGAGAGGTGCCTGCAGATCTTCTCTGAGTCACCCCTGCAACAGTTTGTGTCTCAGTGGGCTGTTTGTGTGTGTGTGTGTGTTAGTGAAAGTGTTTAAATGCATGCAAACTTTTGTTCAAGGTATGTATATCAAAATTTGGTGCAAATGCATTGGATTATGTGTTTAGCCCATTTTTCGGTGAGCGTTTGTAGCAGCATGTTGCTATATGTCATGCATGTGGTTGCCTGTGTTTTTGTAATTTGCCTGCGCTTGGGTTTTGTGTGTGTCAGGCTGCAAGCCCAGTATCCTTCTCACTCCCTCTGCTCTCTGCGTGGGTCTTTTCCACCAGTGCTGCCACCTGTTAGTGTTTTACTCGGGGGCCCCAGGGCTACAATGACTGCAGAACCATCCAGATTTGCTCATCAAGCCCATCAGATCGGCTCCCATACTTCAAAATCTGGCTCCCATTTCCTATCACAGGACCAATCTGAGCTGGATTCCCCCCGCTGTAGTTTAGCTGAGTCAAGATGGTGTGCAGCTGTACAATATTTGAGCCAAGCTGAGTTTGATTAATGACTCACGAGCAGCAACGTTTTGTTCAGTGTGCTGCACTGCTGGATCATGCTTAAGTGTTTGCAAAGTGTGGTTTTAGTGTGAAAAGAGATGTTTAAAGGCTGAATTTATAGGGGTCACTTTGTTGCCCGGTGCTCCACATGTGGGAACCACAAAGAAGAATCTGGCGTCCTCTGTTTGAGAAATAATACGTACCAAGTGAGGATTTAAACACATTAATTGCATGTGTCATATAGCTACGGTCAGGAATCCCATGCTGTGAAAATTGCAGATTTAACTGAACCCTAAATGTAATGAAACTTTTACTACCCAATGACAGGAAACAAAAATATATCATCCCTGCATCTTATTATGAAGTTCTCCTTGTGTTAAATCCAAACTCAAACCGCTGCAGACAGCATCATCAGTCTCTTCAAACAGATAGGATTTGTCATGTTCTCTGTTTCGTGAGACCTCTGAGCTCTCTGTCCTATTGTCTGTTTCCAATTCAGCCCCCTGCCTATTACTGCAGACATTGTGGCAACCTGAAGAAAAGAAAGAAAAAAGAGAAAGACAGGAGTGACCAAACCGTTAAAGGGAAGGGGGAAAAAAACAAGTGAAAAAAGGAGAGTAGAAAGGGATTAACTGTCAGGGAGAATGTGAGGCTAATTGAAGCCAGTTTTGCACAGCTGTTTCTTGTTGCTGCACGGCGCTGCACAGAGCGTCTGCGAGGATAGGATCCAGATGTGATCCTGTGCTGAGGATCGGCCGCCAATAACAATCCTCAGAAATACCAGCCGTACAGGAGACGAGGGCTATTAGAGTGTCCGCCGCTCGCCCACCCCCTTGACAAAACATTGCCTCCTTGCCTCTGAAAGACAACCCAAATCCGTGCTTCTTTTTTACTCTTGATTGCAGCTCTCCTCTCCGCCCCTGAGCGCTGTTAACACTGTCATTTTGTTACACTGCCAGCCACGGCCATGCCCCCTTTATTCAGGTGTCACTAGGTAGCGTAAACATCGCTTTGACACATTTGCCTATTCGCAAAAAGGCGGCTTGCAGAGTTTCAGACTGGTTTTGCATACATGTCATATATGTCTTTTGAAACGTTCACCCAAAAGGGATTAAAGTTTCTTTTGTGTGTCTCTTCTGTTTGGTTTAAATGATCATGGAAAAAAATAAAAGATCATGTATTCTTTATCGGGATTGTGTGCAGGCATTTATTCAGTCCTCTGCTTTAAGCGGAGGGAACAAAAGCTCCCAGTCACTTTGGAGTGAATTGGAGTGGTCAGTGAAAAGAACTTATCATCACATTATACTTTTTTAATACCCCCCCCCCTCTCTGTTCCCACTCCTCATGCCTTTAACCCGCCTTCCATCATTTCCCACTCGGCGCAGACAAAGAGGAGTTAGCATTGGTTCCCCCTTTTCTCCACGCCTTCCAGTGTTACTCCAGGGCTTCTTTTCTCACCTCCATGTTTCTGTCGGACGTTTGGCTTCCTTTCCATCCTTCCCTCTTTACTTCTTCTTCTTCCATTTCTCCATTCCATATTTCTTCTGGTCCCCATCACTTTTTTTGTCTCTTCATTTTCGTCTTTATCCAGTTTTGCTGTCTTTTTCACATTGGAGTTAGCCCAACAGCAGCTGGTCTGTCATTGCTGAGAGGAAAGGTGACATCAAACTGTGTGTAAGCTTTTATTGAAAGCTCTCCTGAAGAGGTCTCAGGTCATGGCTTGACAAGATATACTCAAATATATCACTTTTTTTCCAATTTTTTTTTTACAATATAGATTTCTTCTATGGAAGCACTAGGTGGACATGCATCCATACTTTCTATCAACTCCACTTCCCTGTGATAACGAGTAATGTCTGGTTGCTTTTTTTAAAGATCTCAATTTATTTATCTCTTCTCTTGTCCCAGAGTTTGAAGTACACAAAATAAACACAGAATTAGGCTTCACTTACCTCATTAGTTGGGCAAAAGCAGCACAGCATGACGTGGTCTGGCCTGCCCCAGTGAACAGCCTATTTGTTTTTGTTTTTTAAATTGCCAGATAATTATCGCTGTTTTCAGGAGAAAACAAGCTTCATCATCACAAGATTATTAGATAAACCGATCCGTTATGATGGGGAACGCTGCTTTGTTATCCTGGGGGGAAAGAAAAATAAGTTCTGAAGAAAACAACTGAAATAGACTTCTCATCACAAGAAAACAGGGTAAATAAAATGTTTAGATGCATCAAGTCTTCTGTAAGCTTTACAAGAAGTTATTTACTGGAACACATGAAAAGTGTATGAGGGCGGCTGTGGCTCAGTTGGTAGAGTCGTCGTCAACCAGAAGGTTGAGGGTTCGATCCTCAGCTGAGCAACATGTCCGATGTGTCCTTGGGCGAGACACTTAACCCCGCATTTCTCCCGTTGCTTCGGTGGCGGTGTATGAATGGATTAGTGTTGTACTTACTCTCTGATGTACGTCGCTTTGGATAAAAGCGTCTGCTAAGTGAATTGTAACATTGTAACATTGTGTATGCACTGCATATGCAACAAGCACATCCATCAGAATTTGACCCTGATAATGACTGCTACAGATCCTGTCAGAAAGTGATGAAGAATCTGTTGCAGAATCTCTTTATCTCTCACACACACACACACACACACACACACACACACACACACACACACACCCAAACGTTGTGACAGATTGCCTGAGCCAACATCAATCCCCAGCTCTTGTCCCCTCTTGTGTCAGTTGTGAGTTTTATGACTCTAGTCAAGTTCACCTCATCTGTCGCTGATCTGATTCCTCTCCTGCTGGGCCTGCTGCTGTCAGACAACAGGACCCGCTCTCTCTCTCTTGTCGCACACACAAACTTGCACTGCACTGTGTCTGCTCTTGCTCCCGGGCTGGAATGTGTTCTGGCTGCTGTTGTTTATGTGTCTTGTCCTCAGCTGGTTTCTCTGCTTGTTGTCTTTGCTTGTTTGTCCTCACAGAGCACT